ATTATTATTATTTCCAACAAAAGCAAGAACTGATATAGGGTTTAGGGCTAAACAGACGTGGTGAAAAAAATAAATTAATTGGGAGCCCCTTAAGCTAACCCTACTCCAATACCGTAACCCAAACTCAACCTTAAACTTTGCCCATCAGAAATTGTCACATTGATTTCTAAGGACTTTTCACTTCAACTGATAGACTACATAGTCATGATCTTGCTGCCCATATATCTTACAGAGTTTTCCCATTGCATCTCTTAGTGAAGCTTGCTTGCTGTCGATTCATGAACCGTTGCTAGATCAAGGCAATTTGTTAGAATTTCATTGTGTCTGAGTGGGTCTTGCAACGCAAGGGGAGAAAAATCTGCTGCCTAAAAGAGCTTGTCAGTGCCTGGACTCAGCCTTCCATAGCTAAAACTCTGAGTCCACCCTTCTGGGTCATCTGAGGTCCACAGTTCTCACAACCTTAAGTAAATTGAATGTATTGATTATCTCGCCTTCCTAAGGAGCTCTCCCTGGGTGCAGATGACCAGATGAAAGAGCCAGTTTCTCTCTTGGTTTATAGGTGCTTGTCCCAGTCACATATTTATGATGAAATTCGGGCTACTTGCAGTATCAGGTAAGGCTTCATTGCCTTGGTCTTCCCAGAAGCCCCTTTTTAAAGGACAATTCCATTTTCTGGATCTGAATCAAGTGTTCCTAATTCAGCTCTGGCTCATACAACATGAAGAGCCCACTCTTCCCCTCTGGCTGGCAGACCCTCTTCCTTCCTCACCTTGCTGATTTCTCCCCCTCCCCCCGCCCGCCCTTTTCCCCATCACTCAGTCATACACCTGCCTCACTATTAGCTAACTCTCTGATGCCACACACTATTGGCGGGGCTGTACACACACTATTGGCGGGGCTGCATACACAGTAGCTGGGCTGCATGGTCCTCTGCTGGTTCTGATCAGAGCTGTTACCTAGACCTGGTCCATCCAATGCCTCTTCCAGCCAGGATTTGAGCTCTAAAAGGAGGGACCCAGGACAGCCCTGGGTTGCTCTCAGCAGTGGCAGCAGAGCCAATAGTCAAGCAGTAGGTCATGACAACATGTCCTGAGCAGATTGTCCTGCTGGCTTGATTTTAGCTGTGCACTGCTTCCATTTGATGTTGTCCCATTTTGCTTCTTTGAACCCAGTGAGTTGTCTGTTATCTTTCCAAAACATTTCTTTCTCTTTCAGACAATTATTTCAGAGTTGGAGTGAGTAAAAGTCATTCAAACCTGTTGTTGTTGGGGCAATGTAGAGACAGATGGCATGGTTAGGAGAGTCATTACACCTAAGCTTTTTACAAATTTCCTGAGGGTAGATCTGGCCCAAAGGGAGTGTCCTGTGGTTTCAGATAGAAAGAAAACAAATGAGAGGATGTGTATCCATTAAAAAGACTTACACAGACTTAAGCTGACTTTAGAACTGAAGTAGCAAATCCTGTTTAAGGGTACAAGGCTGCACCAGATATGCAGGATCCCAGCCTTAATGTGAGAGACAAAGGAGAGGGGTAGCTTTTCACCAAGAAGGCAAATGTGAATGCTCTTCTCTGCCACCTGTGCCACCTGTTGTACTCCTTTGCTCTTCTCTTAGTGCCCCATTCTTTTCCTTGCTCCCCCTACCTATAACTCTACCTCTTTGTGTCCAACTTACACTTAGCCGTCAAGCCTAGTTCAAATTCCACCTGCTCTAGAAAACCACCCATGATTAGCTTTGCTCTCAGAACTTCCCTCCTTGGTTCTTTGAAAAATAAAAAAAATTATTTTTTATTTGAAAGGCTGTTATTTTACAGAGAGAAGGAGAGATAGAAAGAGAAGCTCTTCCATCTGCTGGCTCACTCCCTAAAGGAACACAATGGCCAGAGCTGGGCTGTTACGAAGCTTCTTCCAGGTCTCCCATGTAGGTATGGAGCCCCAAGGCCTTGGACCATCCCCTGTAGCCTTTTCAGGTTATAAGCAGAGAGCTAGTTCAGAGGAAGAGTAGCTAAGACATGAAGCAGCACCCATATGGGATGCCAACGTCACAGGGTAGAGGATTAACTTGTTGCACAACCATACCAGCCCCCTCCTTGATTCTTCACCCAAGTCACTTGGGTGAGTGGAGAAGAATTACCTATGTTCATGATTCCCTCCCTGTGAAGGCAGAAGCTTGATCCAATTCCTCAGAGCATTACCAATTCCTTTTAAGAAGTTTATTTATTTATTTATTTATTTTCAGTTTTTTGAAAGGCAGAGGAGGAGAAAGATTCTTTTCACTCCATAACTCCACAAATATTCACAGCAAATGCTCACAGCAGAGTTGGGCCAGATCAAAGCCAGGAAACTGAAACACTCTGAGTTTCCCACATGAGTGACAGGGACCCAATTACTTGGTCCAGCATCTTGGTGCATTAGCAGAAAGTTGGCTCAGAAGTGGGAGAGCTGAGCCTCTGATTAGGGCCTCTAATATGAGATGTGGGTCACTTAACTCCTGTGGCAAAGCCCCTGCCCTGAATATCACTAGCTCCTAGCACAGGGAAAAGTGCTGAATGAGACTGAGCAACAGGAATGCAGAGTCTGCCCCACAGCATTCCCAGGTTCTAGGACTGAGCCATCAGCTGGATAGGGGTGAACTGCGTTTTGGTTCTGTTGGAAGACAATAAAGTGATTAAACACTTGCTTTCTTTCTCTTCTAGTGCAAAAGAGCTAAGCTCTGGGTACAATTATCCAGAGCTAGGATCTCACACAGTCCAGGGGGAAGTATTCCTTGGCAATCAAACATGCCTCAACCTTGGAGTGTCCTGCCTTGTAAGGGGTGGGCTCCCTGCTTGGGGAATTATTTCAGCAGAGACTACAGAGGATCCAGGATCCCTCTTATTGAGTTTTCAGCTGCAGAGGACCTGCTCCCAAATCTTCCAAAAACCTGATGAGAAATACCACTGGCTAGGGATTGGCAGAGAATAGCTGACTCAAAAGGCAAGAGCTGGAGCCTAAAGAGCTTCTCATGTTGCACGAAACTTCACAGGGAATTCTGGTACAGACAGACCTTGAGACTGTCTCAGAGACATCTTCATATTGAGTAGGATGTGGCTGTGGATGACACCTGAGATGCCCACAGCTAGAGGGGGTGAGCACTCTTCCAGGTGAGTTGGCGAAGCCATCCTGGTGGCTCATTCCTACTTTAGGTCTTAGTTTTTCCCTCAAGTAGAGTTGGTTACCTAACCTGTTACTTTCTTTGGACAAATTCAGGAAAAATGTTATGGGCTTAACATGTCTCCTTAAAATTTACATATTAATGGTTGGCACTGTGGTATAGTGGGTAAACTATCACCCGCAGTGGGTACTGGGTTTGTCCTGGCAGTTCTCACTTCCCAACCAGCTGCCTGCTAATTTCTTGAGAAAAGCAGAAAATGGGTTTCACTGCTTGGGCTCCTGCTAAATATGTGGGAAACCTAAGAGAAACATCTGGTTTCTTGCATCAGCCGAACCCAGCCTCGACTATTATAAGTCATCTGTGGAGTAAACCAGTGGATGGATATAGGCCCAAAGACCCCAACTGCCAGCTAGGAAGGCAGCCCTTAACAGACTCTGGGTATGCTGGCATCCTGATCTTGAACTTCTCAGTATCCAGAACTGTGAGAATTAAATGTTGCTGCTTAAACTGCCCAGTTCACAGTATTTCGTTAAAGCAATCTGACCTGAGACACATACTCAGCACCAAGAAACACTCCATAATGGATATCTTTGAGGAAAGGAGGCAATGGCATCTAATGTGAATTCCACAATGGCCACTGGACCTGCTGGTGCCAAAGGACCCCATCTGTGCAGATTTTTCCTTCCATCTCTGGTAAAACACCATAGCTCTTAACTCTGCTGGAAGCCTTGAACAGTAGAGGAGAACCATTCAGGAAGCCTCACCATTCTTCATTGTATTTCCAAGTGACCTCTTGATTTGATCCGGAGGTCATGATGCTGTACTGGGCACGGATGCCCTACCTGTGGGCATGTCAGGTGTGAACCTGCCTGCCTTGGGGTTGGATGGTACTCCAACCTATTTCAGGCTAGTTGCAGATGTCTGTCTCCTGTGCAGGACTCTGCCAACTGATTGTATTTGTCACCCTGTAGACTGGCCTAGAAGAGAGCTTGCTCAGGTTGCAGACAGCCCAAACAAAATCACCCCCATTCTTTGTCAAATTTGGAAACTTCAGCTCCAAAGAGGATTCTTTTTTTTCCCTATACATCTAGAAAGTTGATTGCGTAAAAAAAAAGAACTTTCAACAGCTCAATTCAGGCAAAAGCAAACACAGATGCAGTTTGTCTGCTTGCATCCTGCTTGCATCCTTTCTCAGGGTCCCATTTAGAACTTCCTTTGCATTCTCCCAGCCTGGGCCCCAGTGTCCTTCCCCCTTGGCTGGGTGGGAAGCAGACTCCCACTCAGATAATGTGCTGTGTTCTGTACCCTTTTGCTGAGAACGCAAGCAGGCCGTGAGAACACTCCCCTCAGTACAGAGTGAATTCCCTAGGTTTGGGCTTTCCCAGCAACTCTCACGTCACCCTGGCTAGGTGGTCACAAACACTCCCAACCCATGCTGTCCCCAGCGTGGCTCTGCTTGCTAAGAAATTGTTGGCTCTTTCTGTTTCTGACAGTGCGATATTGCATATAATAACAATTACCAATGACCTCCACTGGGTTGTCCAATCTCATTATTGCCAATGCATCTGGTACCTGCCACTGCCAATTTGCCTCAGCTGAGGTTTTATTCAGTGGGATATGATAGAGCTGTACAGCAATCTTTTTCCATTTAAATAGTTTAATTGAGGAAAGCTATCAGATGTTTCCAAATTTAACGTATACAACAATTTGCTTTTTCCTATCTCTTTTCAGAGTCGAGTTGGAAGAAAATGACATCTGATTCTTATAGAAGGAAAGCAATTACATCTTGGCGTCTGCCTTCCCCGGCTTGCATATGTTTTTAAACATAAAAAGAAATTCTTAATATGTAATTGTCAGGTAATAAAAAGGGAAAAATATTTTACTTTGCATTTATGAAGTAATTTTTCAAAAGCATAAGGGAATTACATGTTAATGTTTTATGTTTATGACTACGCTCTAATACCACACTATTTCTTCAAGTTTGTCTCTCTTTCTTTTTTTTTTTTCGTTCTTCAGAGATGAGAACTGAGCTGATCAGGCCTAGCTCAACCCCTGCATCCCTGCTGGAGCTGTCCTGGGTCACCAGAACTTCTTCCTCAGGGCTCCTGCTTTCTGCATCATGAGCTAGCCTTCTGTATCATGAGCTAGCATTTGTTGTCTACACTGAACTCGTCCAATGGGGAAATGAATGGTCTTTCTTTCTACAGGGTAAGCATGTTTAAAATAGAGAGGATTCCTTTTTGGATTTTTAGGGCTTGTTCTCCACAATTCTTAGCAATGACTGGGTTTAAAATAATTGATTCTCACCAAATACACTTTGAACAAATTTAGTCCTGAGTTGCTGCATAATCAATCTTCACCTAATGAGAACGATGTTCTTCTGTCACACGATGCGTGTCTCTAGCTGATACCTAACCTTCTAAACTTCCAAACTCTGTGTGTGGATAATTTCCAATCCTTCACCTCCTGCTGGTTTTTTTTTTTTTTTAAACCCAGTTGCCTCTGCCTTCACATCTCCCCGAAACTATTCTTGTCCAGGTCTTCAGTTTTACCCTCTAACTTCCAAACCTTGTGGATGATTTTTGGTCCTAATCCTGCCCTCTTAGCAAGTATTTAGCATCAGAAGTGTATCCCACTGTGATATTTATTAATCGGTTTACTTATTTCTTGTCTGTACCCACTCAAAAACATAAATTCTTTGTGGGTGGGAGCTCTGTATCTAATCTACTGGCATGTCACTAGTGTCTACTCTGACACCTGTCACACAGTAGATGTTGGTGATGAGTGCCTCCAACTGTCTCAAATCCACACTAGTCATCAAGGCACAGAGTCACAGAACTTCAGATTTAGGAGGGAATCTCAGAAATTATTAGATCAGAGTATTATTGCCCCAATGGTGAAGTAACTGGCTTGACATCACACTGCTGGAAACTTTTAGAAGAGCCAGCTCTTGAGCCAAGTCCTCTTGGTTTTCTACCCAAGTTCTTGCCATAGCACCCAATCCTATTCTTGTCAGTAGGACTTGGGTGCTATGAAGTTAATCTGTGGTAGTAGAGGCATGGGAGTACGTTCTCTTAAGATCAAAATGGCTTCAATAACGAAGCAGGGAAGGAAAATGTGCATAAGACAGTTAATGTACTGTTCCTAAAACTAAGTTTGTAGTAGAGTACCTAACACTGCCACTGGTTAATTACCATACTTACTGTGTCTGAAGCATGTTTTACTATTTGTACAATTAAGAAAGCTTAATGTTTTCCTGGATCTATAAACAATATGTGTGTGTGTTGCCAACATCAAATACAAAAATTGTAAGAAAGTAAAGTCCCCTCACCTGCATCGCTTGCCATTTAAATTGTTTTGCTTCTGTTTGAAGCATCACATTGACATAGAGAAGTGCAAAAATCATATATGTGTGTGTGTGTGTGTGTGTGTGTGTGCAGCTCAAAGCAATATTTCAAAATGAATATATAGGCTGTTACCACTGAGGACGAGAGAAAGAGAGAGAGAGAGAGAGAGAGAGAGAGAGAGAGACTGTGATCAGCTCCCCCGAAGCCTCATATCACCTCTAAGTTCCTCTTCTTACTCTGTCCTCCAGTGATTTTTATGGCCTTGATAGTGTGACCATAAATTAGCACTGCTCATCAACCTTTACAGTAGGGAAGGCATTCAGTACTATTCTTCGTATTTATAGTTTTGGGATCTGTATTACATTGGAATTTACCCAGTAATACTCTAGACTGATGGGTTCATTTTCACCCCCCCCCCATAGATGGCATATCATGAGACTATTCTATATAATAGTCATGTGCTATGTAACAAGACTTCCGGTCAACTGAAGACTATCTATACTAGTCTCCCAGAATTACATCACCAAGGGACACTGCAGTCTTCTTCATTTGTGTAAGTACTCTATGATGCTTACTCAATGCAAACACTGGGAGCTGTGATCACTTAGAATTAATTTTTGTACGTGCTATGTGCTGGAATTAAATTTCATTGTTTCTACACCAGATATATGATTGGTTCAATACCATTCATTCTTACTGTACTCTCTGCAGCTGACCTATATCACAATATTCCCAAACTAGGGAATTTGAAACAAATTCATGGAAGTTGAAATTTAAAAATAAGTTTGTTTTGGAGGGGAAAAATGATAGGAAATTCATGCATTGTTCTTCCACATTATACATTTCATGAACTTTTTGAAAATCCTCTGATGTGTGCCCATGTTTCTGAACCCCGAACCATTCATTTTTGTTTGCATCAATATGAAAAGGTTTTAGTTTCTATAGCTTTGTAGTGTTTTAAAATTTTTATTTAAACTTTCATTTTATTATTTGAAACTGAAGAGAGAGAGAGAATTTTCCCATCTGTTGTTTCACTCCCCAAATACCTGCAGCAGGTATATTTGGCTGAAGACAGGATTCCAGAAGTTAGTCTGTGTTTCCTGCAGGAGTGTCAGGAGCCTGAGGAGTTGAGCCATCATTTGCTATCTTCCAGTATATGTTAGCAGGAAGCTGGAATGTAAGTGGAAGAACGGAATTGACTTAGGTATTCAGATGTGGGTGGCGATCATCCTCAGCAGCATCTTAACTGGTATGCCAATACTTGCTCCCCTTCATAGTCCGAAGTTTTGCTATCTGACAGTGCAAGACACCTTCATGTCCCTCCTCCTGCATATTTTTTTTAAATCAAGAATATCTTAGCCATTCTTTGTCTTTGGATTTTTATATAAATTTTAGAAGTATTTTGTCAAGTTACACCATATGCATGGGTGTTCCTGTGTGTGGAAGCATATACAGGCCTACTCAAATTTTTATTGATTAGCTTGGGAAATATTGGAGACTATAATATCCAATCCATGCATATGTCATTAGTGAATAATTGGTCATACTTATCCCTTTATAGTTACATGTACACACAAATAGCTTACATAATTTGAGTTATATAATTCATTCTACATTTTTAAAGGATTTATTTATTTTATTTTAAATGTGGGGTGACACAGATAAAGGAAGAGAAAAAGAGAGACAGATATTTCACTTGTTGGTTTGCTCCCTAAGTAGCTGCAACAGCTGGGGCTAGGTCAGGCTGTAACCAGGAGCTGGGCGATCCCTGCAGGTTTCTCATATGGATGGCCCAAGCTCTTAATCCAGCATCCACTGCTTCTCAAGTGCATTAACAGGAAGCCAAATTAGAAGTTCAAAGTAACTAGTATTCTTACATGTACTCCGATGTGGAATGCCTTTAAAGTTGGTGTTCTAGTTTGTCTTTTTAACTTTGATTTATTGCATACACATACACATGACATTTATATGCATATATACACACACATGTATGAGAAGACTCTTCTTCAATATTTTTGTCAGTGGTGGGAATTATCACTCTTTGATTTTTGCTGATTTTTCAGTGGAAATAATATCTCATTGTTATTTTCATTCATACTAACCTGACTACTAGAGAAGTTAAACATTTCTTCATAGACTTGCAGACATTTGAATTTCTTCTTCTCTGAACTGTATGTTCTTATCATTTACCCGTCCTCTTTTTTGTGTGTTTTTTGTTTTTATTTGTTTTTCACTCACTGTTTTTTTTTAATTTAATATTAATTACATCGCATTATGTGACGCAGTTTCATAGGCTCTGGGATTCCCCCCACCATTTACCCATCTTCTTGCCTACTGTTGGTCATTTTCTCACAAATCTGTATGTGATTATTTCAGATATTAGTACTTCATCAATTGTCTGCATTGAAAATGTTGCTCAATGTAATGTAACATTTTTCACTGTACTAATCTTACATTAACTGTTAATTTAATACCATTCAACTTTCAGTAAGTGATAGTTGAGTTTGCTGATCTTTTCCTTGATAGCTGCTAAGTCTCCTAACTTGGTTTTAAACAAAAAAATGCCCATTCCCCTGAACCCTTTTGCTCAGTCACCACCCTCTAGAGATGGAATATCTGCCTATGAATTTTACATTGCCACTGTGAGATGTTCTCATACTATGCTTACTTATTTATTTTAAGTTTAAATCCCTAGTCCAGGTGGAATTCTTTTTGTATGATGTGAGGCACAAACTCCAACTCCATTTTCTTTTAAGCAGTTTATCACCACCATTTATCAAACAGATCACTTTTTTCACTGGAATTTATTTCTGGGGTCTCCATTCTGGTCCTATATAAGTCCTATTCTTTGTATATTATGTTTCTATAGCTGCCACACACACAAAAATCAAGTTACCCTTGACCAACAATTTTTTTAAAGTTTCCCTCAGCCTTTCTAAAACATTTACGTTTTCATATCAATTTTTAGACAATGTAATACAATAAAAAAATCCATTTGTGTTCCAGTTGGGATTTCATTGCATTTATACAGTAATTTGAGGGAGAAATGAAATGTTCATAAGCCTTTCCATCCCAGAATGTGATATGTTTTCAACTTATAGAGACACTATTTTATTTCTTTTGAAATTATACAAACATCTTTCTGTTGGTTCAGTTCTATGTTGGGATTTCCACCATGTTGCCTTTTATATTGAAAAGTTAGGCTCAACCATGCTCAGACTGAATGTGTTGACTAAGGCAAGAGTCCTGGAACGCTCTTTTTGCCTATGACACCTGCGCCCCAGATTTCAGCATCTCCCTTCAATCCTGCCTCTGTGTGCAATTCCACATTTCTCCTACTGAGCATGTGGCAAGGCATCAGGTGATGCTTGAAGCCCAGGAGTCCCTTCCACCTTTTTGGGATGCCCAGAGTACATTCCCAGCTCCTGGTTTTGGCCTCACCTAGTACAGATGTTGTAGACACTGGAGGAGTGAACCAGCACATGGAAGAACTCATCTGACTGTCTGTCTGAGTCTCTCTGCTTTTCAAATAAATAAGAGTTTGAAAAAAAATGAGCCCTTCATTAAATTGACAATCTGTGTTAATGAAAAGACAGCCATCCACTAGTTTTTAGAGTCTGAATGTTAACTAACTTGGGCCAACTAATTGGAATTCTCTTCCTAAATGAATCGTGGATGCTTTATTTGTAAAGCAGGTCTGAGAGTGTCCATCTCACTGGAGTGAGGTAAGAATTAAAGATGATTTAGAAGCAGGCACATAGGCATAGCAGGATCATCCTCTGACTCTGGTGCCAGTATCCATATGGATTTTGGTTCAAGTCTTTGCTGCTCTATTTCCTGTACAGCTCTCTACCTATGACCTGATAAAGCAGCACATTCTTGGGGACTTGCTGTACCCACCCACATGGGAGACCTAGAAGAAGTGCCACCTTTGGACCAGCCCAGCTTTGGATATTTCAGCCATTTTGGTAGACAATCAGTGCATGGAAGATATCTGTCTGTCTATCTTTCTCTCTCTGTAACTCTGCCTTTCAAGTAAAAAGAAATCAGTAAATATTTATTTAAATAATTTAAAAAATTATTTATAAAACAGATGACAGAACACTGGCATATAATACTCAGTTAATAAATGCTTAGCAAAGCTCCTCTCTATTTGGAGCTGTTTTGGCAATTCAAAAGGAAGGTGGGGGCAAGCTCTCCACACATTGATATGATACACTTGCAAAATTGGACATGACCTTTGATCTTTAACCTGGGCTCACAGGTAGCATGCTATGGGCCCCAGTTTTCCAGAATCCCTCACTATCCACATTCAACTTTTGGGCTCCGCTAGATTCTTGGGACACTGTGAGGAGTTAGATAATAAAAAAGTAACCACAGGAGGCAGAAACAGACTTTCGTGTCCCTCAGTTTGCAGGGTAACTCTTGAGAAGACTACTGAGTATTACAATGATATAAAAATACTATGTTTACGTGTGAAACTGAGTGTAAGCTCCCATCAGTGTCTGCCGGTCATTCCTCCTTGGAGACTAGGGAAAGTCACATGTTCCTCCCTCTCTTACCCCTATCCAGGGGCACAGACAGACTGCTCAACTGCAGCACAGCCCAACTGCTCCAGGGGTCAGTGCCAGACCCACAGTGAGCTTCCCCAGCAGCTAGGGACTCAAGGTGGCAAAGAAGGAAGCTCCTCTTTCCCAGGGGCATGGGCAGGCAGCAGGTGCATGAGTGTGCAAGTGGCTTGGGTACCCAGGCAGGATTTGTTGTGACCTCCACAGTCTCTTTGTTGGTTGAGCAAGCAGCAAGCTCCCAGCTTACAGAGGAGGTCAGAAGGAAGTGATTTCAATTAGAGGCAGCTCACAGAGGTCTCCAGCCGGCACAGACAAGTTGGGTAACAGCAGTAGGGCAGCGACCTGAGTCATTCATCCTCTTCAGAGCCAGACAGCCTGGGTTTTGCAAGAAGTCCCTGTTGGCCTCCAGCCTGTCTCCCTCTGCTTCTGGCTTTTGAAAGGAAAACGGAAGGAAAGAGAAGCAGGCAGAGCAGGCAGGGGTGTGGGGTTGAAGGCCAACAAGAGCTCTTGGAGGACTTGCCTCTTCCCCATCCCGAGACCAGATAGAGGCCAGAGGGTTTCAGGGCCAGAAGAGTGTGATTCCCCACTCCTGTTCTTTTTTCTAGCTGAAAATGCCCCATCCTCAGTTTTTATCCATAGGCAAGCCACCTCCATGAAGTCTCCCTGGCCTTACCTCCTCTAAATGTCAGAGCACCTATTGCCCAATCCTGCCCTGCTTTGATCTCCCAGTGGTTCTTGAGGTTGGTCTGTTTCCCTGAGCACAGGTTCCAGCCCCTGGTGTTGCTTAGCTGTATCTTGTGTAGTTGCTCCCTTGTCTCCTGTAAATGATGAAAGGTATCTGCAGTAGCACAAGAGGGTGGGCAGGAAGTGT